ACTCTTGAGCCTGTGCTCTAGAGCCCGCGAGCCACAACTACTGGAGCCCGTGCTCCGTAACAAGAGAAGCCACCAAAATGAGAAGCCTGTGCACTGCAGTGAAGAGTAGCCCTCACTCACCGCAGCTAGAGCAAGCCCGTGCGTGGTGACGAAGGCCCAATGCAGCCAAAAATAAATAAGTAAAATAAAATAAATTAAAAAAATAATAAAGAATCCTCAACAAAATATTAGCAAATTGAAATCAACAATGTATAAAAATAATAATGCATCATGAACAAGTAGGATTTATTTCAGGCGTTCAAAGCTGGTTCAACATTAGAAAATGAACTAATGTAATTCATCACATCAGTAGGCCAAAGAAGAAAAATCACATCATCATATCAATAGATACAGAAAAAATTGTTGATAAAAGCCAACACCCATTCATGATAAAACTCTCAGCAAACTAGGACTAGAGGGGAACTACCTCAACTTGATAAAGAACATCTATAAAAAAAGTACAACTAACGTCATACTTAGTGGTGTGAAACCAGAAGCTGTCCCACTAAAATCAGGGAACCAGGCAAGGGTGTCCCCTCTTACTACTCCTTTTCAGTATTGTACTGGAGTCTTAGCTAATACAGTAAGACAGGAAAAGGAAATAAAAGACATATACATTTGGAAGGAAGAAATAGAGCTGTCTTTGCTTACAGATACATGATTGTGCAGAAAATCTGAAACAATCAATAAAAAACTCCTGGAACTAATCCAGCTTTTACAGTGGAGTTGCAGGATACAAGGTTAATATACAAATGGCAGTCACTTTCCTATATGACAGTAATCAACAAGTGGAATCTGAGATTAAAAACATAATATCATTTACATTAGCACCCCCCCAAATGAAATACTTAAAAAAAAATATGTACAAGATCTAAATGAAGATCTGATGAACATAATCAAAGGATGAATGGAGTGGTATTTCACCTTCATGGAGAGGAAGACTTAATGTTGCCAAGATGTCTGTGCTTCCCAGCTTAATCTGTAGGCAATCCCAATCAAAACCCCAGCAAGTTTTGTGGATATTGACAAACTGATTCTAAAGCTTATAGAGAGCGGCAGAAGACCCAGAATAGCCAGCACAGTATTGAAGAAGAACGGAGTTGAAGGATGACTATAAAGCTATGGTAATCAAGACAGTGTGCTGTTGGCAAAAGAACAGACAAACGGATTAGCAGAACAGACCAGAGAGTTGAGAAATAGACCCATAGAAATAGCATCATCTATTCTTTGACAGAGGAGAAAAGGCAGAGTAGAGAAAAATGGTCTTTTCAACAAATGATGCTAAAACAACTAGACATGCAAATGCAAAAAAAAAAAAAAAAAAAAAGAGTGGATCCAGACACAGACCATACAACTTCACAGAAATTAACACAAAATAGATTATAGACCTAAATGTAAAACTTAAAATTATCAGACTCCTAGAAGATAATGTAGGGCAAAACCTAGATGACCTTGGGTTTGGTGATGACTTAGATACACCACCAAGATATGGTACTTGATACATGAAAGAAATGATAAGTTAGACTTCATTGAAGTAAAAAGTTTCCACTCTTGAAAGACACTCTTTTTTTTTTTTTTTTTGCGTTATGCGGGCCTCTCACTGCTGTGGCCTCTCCCACCACGGAGCACAGGCTCCAGACGTGCAGGCCCAGCGGCCACGACCCACGGGCCCAGCCACTCTGCGGCATGCGGGATCCTCCCAGACCGGGGCATGAACCCGTGTCCCCTGCATCGGCAGGTGGACTGTCAACCACTGTGCCACCAGGGAAGCCCTGAAAGACACTCTAGAGAATGAGAAGAGAAGCCATAGGCTGGGAGAAAATATTTGAAAAAGATATATCTGATAAAGGACTGTTACCCAAAATATACAAAGAACTCAAACTCAATAAGAAAGCAAACAGCTGGATTAAAAAATGGGCCAAAGACTGTAACAAACATCTCATCAAAGAAGATATACAAATGGCAAATTAGCACCTGAAAAGATGTTGAACATCATATGTCATTAGGGAATTCAGGACTTCAAGGGAGATGACATGTGAATCTGAGATTGGAGGAAAAGGGGAGAGCGGAGGCTGTGTCCAAGATCTTTACCCAGAGGATGGATAGCAGTGATTGAATATGAGCTCCTCCAGAACAGAGGTTTTATGTAGTTGACCCTTGAACAACATGGGGTTTGAACGGTGTGGGTCCACTTATACCTGGATTTTTAAAAATAAATACAATACTGCATATAAGTGGACCTGCACCATTCAAACCCATGTTGTTCAAGGGTCAACTGTACACAATCCACGGTTGGTTGAATCAGCAGATGTAGAACCCGCCCATACAGAGGACTGATTTGAGCCCTTGGTTTTTGGTATCTGTAGCAGGTCCTGGAACCAATCCTGTTAGATACTGAGAGCCTGCTGGCTGTCTCTGCTTATCTGCTAGGTTCTCTAATGTATCCTTAATACCTAGAGCAGTGCCGCCTACGCAGTAAGTACTCAGTGAATATTTGTTGCATGAACGAATGAATAGAGAAGTTAGAAGGCAGTGATTACCAGTTTGGGGAGGAGTGACTTGGTAGAGAACTCTTGTTAAGGAGTTATAAATGTGAGATCTAATCCTGAATTTGGTATTAGCTAGCTCAGTCCAGAGCTTCAGCTCTCACTTCAACTATCACATAGATGCCTTTTAAAACTACTGGACGGGCTTCCCCGGTGGCGCAGTAGTTGAGAGTCCGCCTGCCGATGCAGGGGACACGGGTTCGTGCCCCGGTCTGGGAGGTTCCCACGTGCCGCGTGAGCCATGGCCGCTGGGCCTGCGCGTCCGGAGCCTGTGCCCCGCGGTGGGAGAGGCCACAACAGTGAGAGGCCCGCGTATCGCAAAAAAAAAAACAAAAAAACAAAACAAAACAAAAAAAACTACTGGAGGAAGCAATAACATAGGAAACATGCTGGTCATGAACATTAGCTGTCTGATCCCATATGTAAAATGAATTATTGTTACTAAATGCAATTTTATATATAACACTTAGCTCAGTACTTGATCCATATTAAGTACTCAGTAAAGGGCACCATTGTTTGAACCCGAGTTTCATATCAATGAGCTGCCACACGTCTGATATACCACAGTAGAACAATATTTGGATTTCCTCATGCAAAAGCTAAGTGGTTTCTTAAAGATCTTCCAGCCCAGCCCTTCATTTTAACTGATGCCAAAGTGAAAAAGTGACTTCCACAAAGTCACACACCTGGCTGAAGGAAAGAGAATATGGAGGGAAAAAGGTAGTTGGGGACCAAACCTTGGGGGTAACATTTATGTAAAGGATGGGAGGAAAAATAGGAGACACTAATTAGTTGAGTTTTTGAGGGCTTGACCCTGAATTTTACAGCTTCCTTCTATAATAAATTTTATTTTCTGGGAAGAAATGGCATTTGCCTGCTGTGGATAGCTCTACCTATATTTCCCATTGACATCTTTAATTCAGCTTCAATTTAATGTCCAAAACCAAACTGGAATCACTACATGTTAGAACTGAATAGGATCTTAGAGGGCCTCATTCTAACCTCTCATTTTACAGATGAGAAAAACATTCTGCCCTGGGGTGGAGGTCTCACACTTCTTAGATTCACTTATAGCAATGTGAACAATCAGTTGTCCCTTGGGCCATTTTTGCCCAGGCTGCAGAGCATTACTTTAAGTCCTTTTGGCTTAGAGTGAGCCTGCTAAGCTCATCCTGGCTACAACAACCCCTGGTGCTGTTTATAGCCGTCGCTTCTAACTTTCTTTTTTCTTTTTTTTAAACAACTGAATTTTTAAGTTAAACCACCTGAAGAAACCCCATATATAAAAAGAGACTAAAAAGAGGAGCTGCTGTGGTTAACAACAAAGGTTTGTTGGTGGTGATAGTAGGGGATAGGGGTTGGCAAGATCAGCAGAGGGAAAGAATGAGGTTTTTTTTTTTTTTTTTTTGCGGTACACGGGCCTCTCACTGCTGTGGCCTCTCCCGTTGTGGAGCACAGGCTCCGGACGTGTAGGCTCAGTGGCCATGGCTCACAGGCCCAGCCGCTCCGCAGCATGTGGGATATTCCTGGACTGGGGCACGAACCCGTGTCCCCTGCATCGGCAGGCGGACTCTCAACCACTGCGCCACCAGGGAAGACTGAAAGAATGAGTTTTACTGTGATTACTTGGACCCTCATTCCTGGAGGTGAGGGGCCTCTGAAATGCCTCAGGTTAGGAAGCAGTTTGAAATCCCCTGATTTGGGGTCACATGAAATCTGGCAGTGATGGTTGGCGTGAATGAGAAGACCACTGGTATTTTTGTTCAACAAGTTCCTTGGTGATTTGTCTACATGCCCTGGAGTAATGATTTTCAGCTCCTTGGATCTGAGAATTAAGAACTAGGCCATCACTACAACTAGGGCTTTACGAAACTCTCAGCTATTATTCAAAAGCTCTCATCAGTCACATTTGTTGTTACTTATATGGACAAGCAGCATTTTTTGTAAATTCAGTTGCCTTGGAATAGATGATTTTATTAGTATAGATATAGCCCAAGAATTACTGTCACATGAGGAAGAGCTTAGGAGTAATCAGTTTATGCAAGATCAATATGATCTTGCATAAACCCTTATAATGTTCTGATGAAGTTAAAAATACTTGACATATTTTTAATTATTATAGTATTACTTATAATTTTGAATTTTAGTCAGCAACTGATGAAGCCCTGTGCTAGACACCATGAGGAGATGGAGGGAAAATAGGACAAGGTCCTTGCCCTCACATTTGAGTCATGCCAAGTACAGAATGAAGAATGTGACATTTTAGGATTTTTTTCCTTTGTACTTCATTTTACCACCTGAGCTTTTTTTTCATATTGTACAATTTTTAATTTTAATTTACTGACTTGAAAAGCATGTTCATGGCTGAAAATTCGATAATTTAAGGTTGTATGCTTTCTTTCAAATTGTCATCAGATTGCAAGACTGGAGAAAGATAAAGAAGAACTACATAACCAGCTGCTTAGTGTTGATCCCACAAGAGACAGCAAACGAGTGGAGCAACTTGTTCGAGAAAAAGTCCATTTGTGTCAGAAATTAAAAGGTTTAGAGGCTGAAGTAGCAGAATTGAGAGCTGAAAAAGAAAATTCTGGTGCTCAGGTAGAAAATGTCCAGAGAATTCAGGTGCGGCAGTTGGCTGAGATGCAGGCTACAGTCAGATCCCTGGAGGTAAGGTTTTAATTGCTTCCCAGTAGACTATCGTGTGTACTTCTTTTAAAGTGCAGTTGACAAGCCTTTGAGTTTTTTTTTTTGTTTTTTTGTTTTTTTTTGGCGGTACGCGGGCCTTTCACTGTTGTGGCCTCTCCCGTTGTGGAGCACAGGCTCCAGATGCGCAGGCTCAGCGGCCATGGCTCATGGTCTCAGCCACTCCGCGGCATGTGGGATCTTCCCTGACCAGGGCACGAACCCGCGTGCCCTGCATCGGCAGGCGGACTCTCAACCACTGCGCCACCAGGGAAGCCCAAGCCTTTGATTTTTTAGGGCATAAATGTATGCTCACCAATCTAACGCTGACGCATTTGTGGAATCCCAAGAGTATATATATTTTTTGTAAAGAAGAAAGCTCTTGATTCATAAGCAATAGCTGTGCTACCACATTTACAAAGGGATTATTTATTCTTTGGGAGTCACGACGCCTATCTGAAATGATTTAACTTTTACAATGCTACAGAGTAGAATATGCAAAATTCAAAAAAAAAAAGGAGTTTCTGAAGACTAAAGTCATTTCAAACCAGAAAGAGCAATTTCTTTCTAGTTATTTCCTTACACTGGGATTCAAGATCTTAAAATTGTAAATCCTGTTTCAACAGAAAACCATACTTATATATCTTATGACAGCTTCTTGCAGGAGTTACAAAATTGAACTTGGCTACTAATGCATATAAGCCTTTACTGAATTATTTCCCTGAGTTCATTAGAGAAAGAAAAGAGCTGGCAGAGCTAAGCTGGTACTCCTAGAGGTATTCTCCTATGAAAGTTCTTGTTTCTGTTGTTGGAGAGGAAAAACTTTCCTTTTACCCTCTTAGGTTCAGAGTTTAAGGGTTGTGAATTAAACTGACAACAGACAGATTAGCAAGAGAAAAGATAGATTTTTATTCATGTACGTAAACAGGAGTTCACAGAAAAATGTGACTCAAAGAGGCAGTAGTAATTTGGGGCATGTATACCATTCTAATAAGGAAAAGAGGGGGAGAAAGGACACTTATAGGAAAACAAATGACTTTTAGGAAAGATAAACAGGCCCTTAGGAAAACAAATGGCAGATATGACAATTTTGTGATGCTGTTTGTGTAGGTGCTTTCTTACCCTGGTGTTGACTTTTTGTCTTCTGTGATAGAAGTTGGCATTCCCTAGTTATGAAACCCCTGGGGAGGGGACTTCTAACACTTAAATTCTTTTTAGAGGCTCTACTTTTAGACAGATAACAGGAGTTCAGGAAAAAACTTTGTCCTATGTCTGTTGATTCTCAAAAGCCTTCAGCTCCAAATAATTCTTATTCCACAGTGGCATATTCTGGACCCCTTTACAGTTTTATTGAGATAATGCTTATTCCTCCTAGTCCTTAGTGTCTTACGTGTAGCAAATATACTAGTTTGATAGTTTTTAAAATTTTATTTTGAGCAGTCCAAAATGTTTTGTTTTCTTCAGAATAGTTGTGAGGTGATTTGAACTGGAGGGAAATTAGTGTGCACCTAGTTTGTAATTAAAATCCAATATCCAAATCCAAAGTAGTGATTTTTTTCTGGACAGCAAACTGGTACAAGAAGTACATTAATATGTTTTGAAGAGTAGAAGTCACCTTTTTATTTTTTGGATGAAGCTTCTGACAGTATTTAGTGGTTTCCTGAATTTAAGTTGTCAGTATCATTGGACCTTAGACATGAGGCAGTTCAGAATGAAGTGTTTATGTTGCCATCCTTCTATCCTTAACGTATTTACACAGTGACAGTGGGATGACTGCGATTGAATATGGTATGTGATCTCAATGTGAAACTTTGCATTGAGGTCATTAAGAGTGATTATTTTCAGGACCAGTTGAATGATGACAAAAGATGGGAGGTTCTTTCACAAGAGCCTGTATTTCATTTTATCATTTGTCAGATGAAATGAAAATACGCACATGACAGGTAGCCTGCCTTTCTTTGATTTTTTTTTTTTTTTTTTTTTGTCTATCATTGTGCCTGAAGAGTATCATTTTTTATGTGAGGAAAATAGGGCTTTTTCCCTGAATTATTTGTTGAATACACTCCTTATCATATTTAAGATACATAGGAAATGAGCTGTTGCAGAACTGAAGCTTATCCTTTAAATGCAAAATGTTTTCATTTTAACTATTTTGAATAGAAGTATTTTTAAAAAGCATTTAGTTTTCCCTTTCTAATTAAAGAGTACTGTGAATATTACCAACTGGAAATTTTCTTGACAGCTTACTTCATTAAGAATATTATGTGATGAGTTCAGGAGCTATTGAGTTCTTTGCCCATACTTCCAGAAGCTCCAGATTAGTCGAGGATTTTGAATTTTTAATCTCTTGGGGATTGTTTTCTAATCTCCACTGATTTTAGATTTTCAGTTCTCACTTCTTACTACTACACATAAGCCCTCTCCTCTACCTTGTAATATGCTTTTTCATATCTGTTGTGTACTTGAAATCCACCAAAACGCTTGGTTGAATTATGTCCACAATAATAGTAAATAGGTATCAAGTGAGTGTGTTAGGTACTCTCTCTCATGAGAGAAGTGTATGGGTTTTATCTTGGTGGTGGCTGTTGATAAGCTGTTTGTCCAGATAACTTTGTTGCATATTTCCTGGAGCAAATACCTTGCATTTGAATTCTACCAATTGCTTTGTGAAAACTCTTGTTACTTCGGTATATGTTAATATTGTTGAGGTTTTGAATAATTTTGGGTAGTATGATTATTACATTTATTTAAATAGTGCTTATTTTGTTTTTATATAATTGAAAAATTGTCAACAAATTTTAAAATATTTTATTTTAATAAAAGGCTGAAAAACAGTCAGCTAAACTACAGGCTGAACGCTTGGAGAAAGAGCTACAATCAAGCAATGAAGAAAACACTACTTTAATTAGTAAATTGCATAAAGCTGAACGGGAAATTAATACATTGACCAGTAAAGTAAGTTGTCTTACGTATTTGCTTTATTCTTTAGAATGCTTGAGACTGTATGATGACAAAGGAATTTTGTGTTTCAGTAGCTTAGTTCCCTACATTGAAGTCTCTTTTTTGATCTTATTCTACCTTCCAAAAACATGTAGAAACTGACCAATTCTTTTTTTTTAATTTATTTTATTTATTTATTTTTGGCTGTGTTGGGTCTTCCTTGCTGCGTGCGTGATTTCTCCAGTTGCAGTGAGCGGGGGCTACTCTTCGTTGCGGTGCGTGGGCTTCTCATTGCGGTGGCTTCTCTTGTTGCGGAGCATGGGCTCTACGCATGCGGGATTCAGTAGTTGGGGCATGAGGACTCAGTAATTGTGGCTTTGGGGCTCTAGAGCGCAGGCTCAGTAGTTGTGGCGGATGGACTTCATTGCTCCGCGGCGTGTGGGAACTTCCCGGACCAGGGCTTGAACCCGTGTCCCCTGCATTGGCAGGTGGATTCTTAACCACTGCACCACCAGGGAAGCCCCTGACCAATTCTTAACCGCTTTCACTGTGACCACTCTAGTCCAGTTTTTACAATAGCCTCCTAATTGGTCTCTTTACTCTCTACCCTGTCAGAGCTCTGTGTGATCTGGCCCCTGCAATCTTTCCCCAGCCGTCATAGTCCATTTTCCCTCCCATTCACTTTGCTGTAGCCTCACGGGCCTTCTCACTCTTCTTTGAGCAAGCTTACTTCTACCTCAGGGCCTTTGCGCTTGCCCGCCTTGCATGGTCTTCCCTCACATATGTATATAGCTTTCTTCCTCACCCATTTCTTTTTTTTTTTAATTAATTAATTTATTTTTGCTCACGTTGGGTCTTCGTTGCTGCATGCGGGCTTTTCTCTAGTTGTGGCGAGTGGGGGCTACTCTTCGTTGTGGTGCGCAGGCTTCTCACTGAGGTGGTTTCTCTTGTTGCGGAGCATGGGCTCTAGGCTTGTGGGCTTCAGTAGTTGTGGCACATAGGCTCAGCAGTTGTGGCTCACGGGCTCTAGAGCGCAGGCTCAGTAGTTGTGGTGCACAGGCTTAGTTGCTCCACAGCATGTGGGATCTTCCCGGACCAGAGATCGAACCTGTGACCCCTGCATTGGCAGGTGGATTCTGTGTTTTGTTTGTTTGTTTGATACAGAAATGTATTTATTAATGCATTAAAACCAAATCTCATGATGAGTTTAAAAATTACTGTAATTTTGAAGCAGTGATAAGTATTAATGATATTTTGAAATATCTACAAAAAATGTGATATGAAAATATCTGTCACAGGTACTGTTAATACTACGATGGTTTGTAGTCAACATTCATAGTTGAAGTGGAAGGTGGATTCTTAACCACTGCGCCAACAGGGAAGCCCCTCCTCACCCATTTCTGATGTTGCCTTATCAGAGAGGACTTTTTTTTCTTCACTTTGTAAAATACCATCTTCCCTCTTCCTCTGCCTTATTCTCTATCTTTTTTACCTGCTTTATATTTCTTCATAGCTCTTAACACCATCTGGTATATTTGTTTATTTTTGTCTTTTCTACTCCCTTTGCCTCAAATATAAGCTACAAGAGAGCAGGGACATTGCTTTTATTACTGTTGTATCTCTGGCTCCTGGAACAGTGCTGGCACACAGTAGACAATAAATATTTGTTAAATGAGTAAATTAATACCAGCAGCATGATCTGCATTTGCTATTTTTAAAACAATATAATGGTTTGAACACCTTTTTTTTTTTTTTTTTGCGGTACATGGGCCTCTCACTGTTGTGGCCTCTCCTGTTGCGGAGCACGGGCTCCGGACGCACAGGCCCAGCAGCCATGGCTCACGGGACCAGCCGCTCCGTGGCATGTGGGATCCTCCCGGACTGGGGCACGAACCCGCGTCTCCTGCATCAGCAGGCGGACTCTCAACCACTGCGCCACCAGGGAAGCCCTGAACACCTTTTATATACAGTTTTCCCAGGAACTTAGAGGTTTTTTTCCCCCTCAAATGCAATGTATATAAGGAATCCAGTAACCAGAAGTAGGATAGCAATGATGAAAGTATTTTATAGAATACTGCAGTGGATATCAGCTCTGGAGTCAGACATATTCAAATTCCATTTCTTCCCCTTGCTAGCTGAGTGACCTTGGGCAATTTAATTTCTCTCTGAAGACTTTAGCATTTTCCTTTATAAAACAGACTAATACCTACCTTATAGAGTGTGGCAGAGATTAAATGAGATATTATGCATAAAGCACTTAGCATAAGATCTAATATATAATCACCTGAATATTAGCTATTATTAGTAGTACTCGGGTCAGCTCTAAGAACTTGAAACTAAGACTGATGTCTGAATCAGTGAGAACATGTATTATATTTCTGCCAGAGCAGAGTTATGTAAAATCACCTTAAAAAACAAAATGGTTTCTAGACCAGAGGGAATTTATTGTAGCCTGGTAGAAATATATGAACTTATCTAGAAGCGTAGTGTATTCATTCGTAAATTCCTTGTCCACAGTCAAACAGTGTTTATGACAGAGGCAAGAGAGAGTTTTAGTTGGCAGAGTGTGAGTATTCTGGTCCCATTGAAGAGATCATTCTTACTGTGGAAAGGAATACCTCAATCTATTTTAGTTTGTGGCCATGAAATAATCGATTCATCCCCTTCCTTTTGTTCTGACTGCATGAGCCCTAAGCAACTTTATGACTGTTATGTGATTTCCTCTGTAATTTTGTCTACAGGGAGAGAGAACGCACTGGTTCTTCAGAATTAGAGTATTCTAGTTTCCATTATAGTTTTTTCTCGCAATTAATAAACTGACATTCTAGTTTTATAGATCACTCTTTGTAAACTTTAGTAATGTGAGTTCAGCCTTGAGAGCGGTCTTTAAGTCTGGTGACAAATTTGATTTCTGTGCCTGGAAAGCCAAAGCCATAATATTAGATGTATTAGATGCCACCCTTGGGAGATAGTGTACCCAGTTTTTTCTATGGCAAATACATACTCTTTTACACTTCCAGATTGTGTGTTTATTAACACACATTGCTAAGAGTAGCCTGTCTTTTTAAAGACATACTTGCATTATTATACATATAAATGGTTTATTAAAAAACCACCCACCAACTTCAGACAAACCAAGTTTTCATTTGAGATCTTGCATATAAAAAGATTTCATTGGAAGGTTAAATTTTAAAATAATGTTTCAAACATTGTCACAGTTTTCTTTGCCACTTGAAATTTTCATCAACATTTTGCAGTTCTCACAAATGGTTGTTTTGTGCAGAGGAACACCTGGGGTGTATTTGTCTAAGTTATTCAAATTTGTAAATGTTTGTTAGGTTTTTGAACAGAGTTATGTCATTGTGACTATCGTTGTCTTGGATTAAAAAGTATTACCAAAGATGGCCTAAAAATGATGACCTTAAAGATATCTAATATTCAATGAGATAAATTCTTCCTGTTATGAGGTGTTTGAGCTTTAGAACTCCAATAAAATGTACAGTTTTTAAGGAAGTCATCCCACAGAATTACCTTATTAGCTAAGTTTATGAGGTCATACCATCTCAGACCTTTGAAAAAGATCAGAGTTTGAGTACTGTCTCTTTGGAATTTACATCAAGAGCTTCTTGAGTAATACATTTTTTCAACTTTATTTGAATTTCTGGCTTACGTATATTGTTATCTTTTGTGTGTGTGTGTGTGTAATTTAACAGATTCTGAACCCTTATAAAATGCTTACTGTTGCTACTTTGTTACATTTCTTAAAGTTTTATTAGTACAAGCTAATATTCTGAGTACTTATTTTGTATCAAAAGCATAAAGCAAATTCACAATGTAAAGACCACAATCTACATGGAAAACATATTGTGGGACAAAAAAAGCAGAACAGGGTAGCTTGGCCCACGGAAGCTTAAGAAGATTGTAAATCTCTTCAAATTATTTGCAGCATTTTAACATTGTGCATTTTATTTAAGAAAAGATCCCTAGTTTTCCTAGGATTTTTGATGCTTGATTACAAAAGTTAAGAACTAGGAATCTAGAGGCAGAAAGAAACTTTATTATAACTATTTGGGATTTGGTTCATATTACTCATAGAAAGTGTTTTTATTCATCATATCTAAGTAATAAATATTCATATACGTTTTTCCATTTTTAATAAATAAAATAATTTTAATATCATTTTGGAAGTTAATTACTTTAGTGTGAGTGCATTCATTATTTCAGTATTTTAGAAATGTGGCGCTAAAGAAAAACTCATCAGGGTCCATAGATAAGTTGATTTGAATGCATGTTGCTTGAGCATATAGCACTACTTTAATAATAGAAGTAGTTCTGAAGATAGACTTGTCGTTTGACTTCCGATCCAGTGTTCCTTCAGTTTCACTGATTATAGTTTAATTGAAAAATGTTTTCTCATTTCAGTAAATCTCAGTGAATGAATTAAGAAATGTTTTTTATATTTTTTGTAGTTCTTCTCGTTGAAAGATTCTACAAAATAAGATGGCTCAGATTTTCCATCTCATATATAAAGCAGCTACAATGTGGTTTGCTAATGAACTGCTGTGTCATTCAAACCTTCTACAGTTAGTGTTATAATAGCAGGTTATGATTACATTTGTCATAGAAATTAGATTTTCATTGTAGTTGTATTTCTTCCAGATTTTAAAGCATTTATAAATTCTGTCTGTCCATGAAATTATAAAAACCCAATCTATAGAAAGTTTAAATTTTAAAATAAATACAATTTTTTAGCTGCTCTGAAAGTATTTCAAAGCTGCTTTGTAAACATTGTTCTATGAGACTTGCTTTCATAGAAAAGAACTTCAGAAAGATTTAAAAATGCAAATCTGATGTCAGCAGAAGGTATTCATTTTGTGTTGTGTCATTTGAAAATCTACAGGTTAATTTGTGTCTTAGTGTGGTTATTAGCAGTACAAAGGCAGCATAGTACTTGACTTCCTTGTTTCCTTTAAGTGAGGAATTTGCAGGAAACCTTGTTATGTTTCCAAGACCTTTCATAGATGGAGTCTCCTCCAGTAAGACACTTCTGTTTCTCATCTTCGCCCTCTTTGGCTCTAGGACCTCTTCCTGATTTATTTCTAACTCCCATCTCTAGTTTTTATAGCCTTTTATTGCACTCAAGTAAATTATCCTTTACCCTCCTGTTACCACCATCTTATATTTTACATATTTGGCTTGTATATATTTGTGATTTTCTCCTCTGATTTCATCGTTTTATACATTAGTATAATATGTCAGAATGCAGGTTTATCTAACCTTTATATCCGTACTGGTTAAATCCTCATTATACTACTGTACCTAATTTTAGAAGCACCTCACCAAAGGGCAGGGATATGGAAACAGTTAAGAGAGTATTACAGATGATTAGAGAGACAGAGCTTTCTTGTTTGCTGCTGTATCCCCAGCTCCTAAGACAGTGCTAGGGCACATGATAGGTGCTCAATAAATATTTATTGAATGAACAAAGGAATACTACTTTAAAAATTTTGTTTGGCTGCATTGGGTCTTCGTTGCTGCGTGAGGGCTTTCTCTAGTTGCGGTGAGCAGGGGCTACTCTACGTTGCGGTGTGCAGGCTTCTCATTTCAGTGGCTTCTCTTGTTGTGGAGCATGGGCTGTAGGTCACACAGGCTTCAGTAGTTGTGGCACGTGGGCTCAGTAGCTGTGGCTTGCGGGCTCTAGAGCGCAGGCTCAGTAGTTGTGGCGCACAGGCTTAGTTGCTCCGCAGCATGAGGGATCTTCCCGGACCAGGGCTCAAACCCGTGTCCCCTGCATTGGCAGGCAGATTCTTAACCACTGCACCACGAGGGAAGCCTAAGGAATACCACTTATGAACTATAATTATTCAGCTTTCAAAAGGAATGTCTCAGGGAAAAGCTGAGATTGGTATGTGGTTAATTATATGGAAAATATTGACAATTAGTTACATTCACCTTGGGGCTTTAAAAGAATCAGGTTTTGGCAATAAAGGTTTAAATTAGATTCATACATTTTGTACTTGTTTATCCCACTACCAGCGTATACACACACACACACACACTATTTAGTCACCAACTTCAATAGATTATTCTTTCTTGTCCCCTTTGTTGTTAGCTGCCGCTTAATTGGTTTCTTTACCTTCAGTTTCTTAATCCAGCACACTTGCAATTAGAGTTAACTTTCTGAAACAAAGTTGATTGTGCCACCTTCAGCATTTTACCTTCAGTTTCTTAATCCAGCACACTTGCAATTAGAGTTAACTTTCTGAAACAAAGTTGATTGTGCCACCTTCAGCAGCTAAGAGGATATAAAACCCTTTTGTATGGCATATAAAGTTTATTCCCTGCCACTCCACAGTTTTCACATCTTCCTCTGCTCTATCTATGACACATTGTTCATTGTTTTCCAAGCAGACCAGGTGGCGTTCTATCCAGGCAGACCCAGTGGCGTTCTACCTTTATAACATTTTATATGCTGTTCCTTATACCTAAAATGCCTTTTTGTCACCAGCAGTTTTTTTTAGAGGAAGGTTTCAATTTTTTTTTCCCTGAGGATGTTTCAGTCATTGACTATTGGATTTTAGGTACTTGCAGTTAAGCCTTTAAAGGCAAGGTTAAACCCGATGACCCCACCCTGCTATTGAAAGAAATGACTCAGTTCTATTAGGAACAGACTGTTTTCTTGGTGCTGAGTACTGTTCCAGGCACTGAAGCATCTTCCCTGCTGGAAGGTGCTTATACTCTATACTCTGCTACCAAAGTGTTTCCTCATTTCTACTAATGTTTTTGGGTTAGCATTTAGTGGCAAGAAAATGACCAATAGTAATTTCAATTTCTAATTATCAACAGGTAAAAGAACTTAAACATTCAAACAAACTAGAAATAACAGACATCAAACTGGAGGCAGCAAGAGCTAAGAGTGAGCTAGAAAGAGAAAGGAATAAAATTCAAAGTGAACTGGATGGTAATATATGATTTCCCATGCTTTTTACTGTTACTTTCACATATAAACTCAAATTACTAAAATAGATCAAACTGAATTTTTATTTCCAATTTTAAGCTTAATTGAATTTTAATTTTAGAGCACACATACGTATTGTTTTTATTTGTATGTTAAATGTTCATTCTGTGATGTAACTTTTTAAAAAACAATCTTATGGTTATATCATTGTTATTTGATTAATACATAAATTAAGTGAAACTATAGATAGGATTCCATACTTCCTGGGTATATAACTTAAAATCTGTTTAGATCACGTGATTATTAATATCAGACCATTTAAAATCTAAAGAATATATAGGTGGGTTCCAGGTCCAGTTTTTAAGTTTAAAATTTTTTTTATGTAGACCCTAGGCCAGTTATTGGGCCTAGTTCAGCCTAAGCTTATTTTTAAACTCCAATTTAGTCTTAGACTATCCTTCTCATCAAGATTTCTCAGAAATTATATTATTTCTGACTTTTATTTAGTACTTAAATAAGCTGCCTGGACCTGCAGCTGTCATGAAGTTGGTCTCTAGTTGAACTGGCCTCTAATTTCAGTTTCAGACAGAGCTTATGATGAATGGCTATTTTCATTATTAATTTCTACTTGATGTTGACTCATGGATTTTCATAGAGTTAGGGAGCATATTTTCTTTGGAACTTAAAGAGTTTGAGATCCAGTTTTGCATTCTTTTTAAACTTTGAGTTAGATATGAATTTGTTTTAGTTATTCCATATGCAAAATACTTGTCATTTCATTACGAGGAAAATTTGTGAATTCATTGGACAAACTTGAAAGTGTCCAATTTGTATTAGATATCTAACAGTTCTGATAAGTTTCAAAAGCTTCTGTGATTTTATTCACTCTGCTTTCCAGCTAGCTTTATGATGATGCTGTCTGTGGGATTTAGGTTACAGAACCCTTTTAGAAGTTAAGTATTTAAACCTGTTTCAATATTACCCAGGTTGATGTCCCCAGCTCTCATGATCCAAATGAGTAAATGTATATAACCTTTTATTAAAGTGTTTTTGTGTGAGTGCTTAATAAAGTGACAAATTAAGTCTGAGTAGTAGTCTTTTTTCGTTAAGAAAAGTTTATCAGCAAAGTAAAGATCTTTGAGATGTGTATCTGGAGAGACTTACTTTCTATATTCTTTTATCAGCTTATGAATATTTGCTGTTAATTGCAGTTTTTCTTCTTAATAACATTGAATACAGTACAGTTTTCTCCTTTAAAAAAAAAATACTAGGATTACAGTCAGACAATGAAATTCTCACATCAGCTGTTGAACACCACAAAGCGCTTTTAGTAGAAAAGGACCGTGAATTAATACGTAAAGTACAAGCTGCCAAAGAAGAAGGTTACCAAAAACTTGTGGTATTACAAGATGAAAAGTAAGTACCTAATTACCTTATTTTGTGTTAAATCTCCTTGCAAATGAAAACATTTTGCTGTCATATCATCCTTATTGTAGTTCTTGTAATATAATTATCATCTGTTTTTTTAGGCTAGAACTTGAGAGCAGATTAGCGGATTTAGAGAAAATGAAAGTGGAACATGATGTCAGGAGGCAATCTGAAAAGGATCAGTGTGAAGAGAGGTTGCGAGCTTCACAGATGGCAGAAGAGTCGGCCAGGAGGGAACTCCAGAGTATTAGGTTATATATGCATATTTTTTTAAACTTCATTTTGAAATAATCTCATAGCCAACAAAACATTGTAAAACTAGTACAGAGTATTCCCATATAATTTTCACCCAGATCTCCATATCTGAATTATTTTGATACCTTTGTTGGTTTCAGTTGGCCATATGTGAGTGCGTCTGTTTCTGGACTCTGTTCTATTCCATTTATCTGTATGTCTGTCTCGACACCAATATCACACACTCTTGACTACTGTAGCTTCATAGTAAGTTTGATTCAGGTAGTGCAAGTCTTCTACATTGTTCTTTTTTGGCAAGATTGTTTTGGCTCTTCTAGGTCCTTTGCCTTTCCTTGTAAATAATCACCTTATCACCATTTTCAAAAAGGCTTAAGATTTTGATTGGGATTGCACTGAATCTGTAGCTCAGTTTGAGAAGAGTTGTCATCTCAACAGTATTGAGTCTATCCAATCCATGAATATGGCCTATCTCTCCATGTATTCAGGTCATCTTTAATTTCTGTCATCAGAGTTTTGTAGTGTTCATTGTATATATCGTGCTCATATTGTGTTACATTATAATTCCAAGCATTTTTATGCGATTATAAGTGGAGTTATGTTTTAAAATTTTACTTTCTAATTGTTTATTGCTGATATATAGAAATATAGTTCAGGGGCTTCCCTGGTGGCACAATGGTTAAGAATCCGCCTGCCAACACAGGGGACACCGGTTCGAGCCCTGGTCTGGGAAGATCCCACATGCCGCAGAGCAACTAAGCCTGTGTGCCGCAACTACTGAGCCTGCACTCTAGAGCCCGTGAGCCACAACTACTGAGCCCGTGTGCCACAACTACTGAAGCCTGCACTCCTGAGCCCGTGCTCCGCAACGGGAGAGGCCACTGCAATAAGAAACACATACACTGCAACGAGGAGTGGCCCCCGCTCGCTGCAACTAGAGAAAGCCCGCGCACAGCAACAAAGACCCAGTGCAGCCAAAAATAAAATAAATAAAATAGATACAACATTAAAGAAATAAAAAATATTTAAGAAATGTAGTTGATTTTTATGTATTGACCTTGTATCCTAGGACCTTACGGAAGTCATGTATTTTCTACTAGCTGCTTGTGGGTTCTTAGTTTTCTTACATCATGTTGTATACGTTATACTTTCTTTTAGTTTACTTGTTCATTTTTTGGTTTTGGTGTGTTTTTTTGAGGATTTAAGTAGGTTTTATTTTTTTGATAGTATTTTTTTCAATAGATCTTTATTGGAGTATAATTTTTTGAGTTGGGAATTTAATTCAGCTAATGTTCATTCTTTCATTTTTATTGGTAAAAGTATCATGCTGAGAATTTTCTTATCACTGCTTTTTGATTGTATCATATGGATTATGATATGCAGTGTTTTAATTATCATTATTTTTTAGAAATTCCCTAATTTCAATTTGCATCTTCCTTTTCACCCAAGAAGCAATAGAAGGTATAGTTGTTTAATAGAAGGTGAAACTAATAGTTTTCTAGGGCTGCCACAACAAAATACCACAGGGTAGTTTAAACAACAGAAATTAATTTTCTTACAGTTCTGGAGGCTAGAAGCCTCAGAGCTCAATGTGTTAGCAGATTTGGTTTCTCCTGAGGCCTGTCTCCTTGGCTTGCTGATTGGTTGCCTTCTTACTGTGTCCTCACAGGGGCTTTCCTCTGTGTGCATGTATCCCTGGTACCTCTCCCTCATATAAGGACACCAGTCATAGGATTAGGACCCACCCATATAACCTCATTTAACCTTCGTTACCTCTTTAAAGGCCTTGTCTCCAAATACAATCACATGTAAGTGATTGAAGGTTTTTGAATTTCCAGGTGATAGGGCTTTCTTGTTTATTTTGTTGTTAAATTTTAGTTTTATTGCATTGTGATCAGAGTATTGATTCTGTTATTTCTGCTTTATGGAACACTCTAATGTTTTCCTTGTGACCTAATATATCAAGGCCAGGACTACGGTAAAGACAGTGAGGCAACCAGGGTGCAAAATTTAAGGAGGTACTCACTCTTATGTGTTGACATTGGACTTGCAGGAAACCTGGAGTGAGTATCCTTAAATTTTTCACTCTGGGCACCTCCCTTGCCTTATCTCAGTCTCAGACCTGTAATACATGATTGATTTTTATGAGTGTTACATAAGGACTAGTAAAGAAAGTACTCAATTATGAGTATAAAGTTTGAAATATACCTCCATAACATCTACCTTACTAACTGTGATGTTCAGGTCTTCTGTATACTTTGATTGTTTTGTCCACTTCATTTGTCTTGTACAAAGAGTAATATATTAAAGTCTCCTGTTATTACGTTAGTGTGTTTCTATCTATGACTCCTTAAATTTCTTGTAATCTTTTTGCTTCATAGGTGATTGCTATATTATTTGGTATATAGATAATCGTAACAGTTATACTTTAATTATGAATTGTGGCTTTTAGCATTTAAAAGCACTTTTCTTTTTGTCATTTAATTTTTTTTGTTTGAATTCCACCTTGTTTGATATTGTTATTACTCCTGTTTTATTTTAAAATTGTTGATTTTTTTCATAGATTTCTGACAGCTGTTGCTCTAGATTTTTTTAGGTGCATATATATTCATGGTTGCTTGTTATTTTTCCTTTAACATTTTATCTTGAATTTTATATGGGCTAATATTAACATTTCTACTATTTCTTTCCTTTTGCTCATATTTGTGGTACATCTTTTCACTTTATTTTCAGCTTTATTTATTGTTTTATTTTAAATGTGTCCCTTATAGACAAAATATTACAATATCTTTTAAAAATACAATTTGGGGTTTCCCTGGTGGCACAGTGGTTGAGAGTCCACCTGCCAATGCAGGGGACACGGGTGCGTGCCCCGGTCCAGGAAGATCCCACATGCCGCAGAGCGGCTGGGCCCGTGAGCCATGGCTGCTGAGCCTGCGCGTCCGGAGCCTGTGCTCCACAATGGGAGAGGCCACAATGGTGAGAGGCCCGCGTACCACAAGAAAAAAAACAAAACAAACAAAAAAACGATTTGAATGATAGTTTCTTGAGCAGTATGTTAACTCATTTACATTCTTGTAATTACTTTGCCATTAGAATTTAATTATCTTTTTTCACTTTTCTTTTTTTTTTTTTTTTTTGCGGTACGCGGGCCTCTCACCGTTGTAGCCTCTCTCGTTGTGGAGCGCAGGCTCAGCGGCCATGGCTCACGGGCCCAGCCGCTCCGCGGCATGTGGGATCTTCCCGTACCGGGGCACGAACCCGTGTCCCCTGCATCGGCAGGTGGACTCTCAACCACTGCACCACCAGGGAAGCCCCTAAGGTTACTTTCTATTTGTAAAATGTAATTATCCCTTAGAATCCTAAATGTAATGATCTTAAATCATGGACTAATTTTCTTCTTTAAAAAAAATCAAAAATCTCCTATCAGTTATGAATTCTAACCCAGCACTGCTTCAGCAAAGTGAACTGAAGAAAATTTTGTAGATCATCTCTTACAGTCTACCACAATGCTGTTCTTACTCCTTTAATGTTTAATGATAGTCAGATACTCTTTACCAATGGTTTCTTTGGCCTCAGTTTTTATAGGTAGGGCAGTTTTGTTTCTCTTCATATCTATATAATTATTTAGAAAGTATTCAGGCCACTAATGCTTTCATAACTCGGTCTTGTTTCTTGTTGATTTATCATGTGTATCCAAAATCTCGACCAGAGCTAAGATATACTTGGGGCCTAACTTTTCTAACTCTGGACCGGAGCTAGGACCCATGGTGTTTTCTCCCCTATTTTCATCTCCATGGTTTTGTAGAAAGAAACCTTTATTCACTCAGTAACCTAAAAGCTCTGAGTTAATAGCAACCTTAAACATTTAAGGGAGAAATGAACAGAAAGTTTGAGGGAGTAATAGTATAGCTAGAATTACGGAATAAGAGTATGATTGATACTGTCAAAGGAGCACAGGAAGAGCAAGACTGGCCCTCTTCCTTTAGGTCCATTGTTTCTGGCGTTTGTATGTAAATATCTCAGGAGCAGTGTATTTTATGGTTTCTTCCATATCATATTGTCCGACCATCTTGTGCATTTAAATGTGTAATCCAGGATTTGGGTTGGTTCATTCAGTCCAACAACATATTTACTGAATTTTTTTTAATAGATCTTTATTGGAGTATAATTGCTTCACAATACCGTGTTAGTTTCTGTTGCACAACAAAACGAATCAGCCATATGCATACACATGTCCCCATATCCCCTCCCTCTTGAGCCTCCCTCCCACCCTCCTTATGCCACCCCTCTAGGTCATCGCAAAGCACCGAGCCAATCTCCCTGTGCTATGCTGCTTTTTCCCACCAGCCAGCTGTTTTGCATTTGGTAGTGTATATATGTCGATGTTACTCTCACTTCACCCCAGCTTCACCCTCCCACCCCATGTCATCAAGTCTTTTCTCTATGTCTACCTCTTTATTCCTGCCCTGCAACTAGGTTCATCGTACCTTTTTTTTTTTTTTAGATTCCATATATATGCGTTAGCATACTGTATTTGTTTTTCTCTTTCCGACTTCACTCTGTGTGACAGACTCTAGGTCCATCCACCTCACTACAAATAACTCAATTTTGTTTCTGAGTAATATTCCATTGTGTATATGTGCCACGTCTTCTTTATACGTTCATCTGTCAGTGGTCATTTAGGTTGGTTCCATGTCCTGGCTATTATAAATAGTGCTGCAGTGAACATTGTGGTGCATGTCTCTTTTTGAATTATGGTTTCCTCAGGGTATTAGTGTTTAAAGCACAGCCCTAGGCCTTTGAGAATATTGTCTTCCCAAGAAGCATTTCTAACTGGGTTGAAAAGGCATGCTAATAATGCTAAACTATAACTAGTACTTGCCAAACAAATTATATTTGAGGTAAATGAAGGATTTTTAAAAGGGAAGTTTGAGGGCTTATCCTGTCAAAGCTAATTAGTGTATAGTCTTTCTCATGAGGTTAGTTAGTCCCTTGGTCACCAGGGATACACTGTGTTTTACGTTTTGGCTGAGAATGTATCATTCCTTTTGAAAAGGACACAAATTGTGTAAGTGTGCATTCATCTCAGGGATGAAAACTCATAATATATTTTATAGAACACAGTATGGTGTCTGTACTAGATAGTTTTCTTTTAAATTCTGAATTTAAAATCAGTATAATTACGGCATAATGAAGTGGGAGACAGAGATACTTACTTGGGTGTGAGAAGACCTGGGTCTCGTCTTGATTTGGCTACTTGGTAGCGGTGTGATTTGGGCCTAACTTTGCTAAGCCTCAACCTCTTTTTCTGTATTATCTGGAATTATAAAGAAGACTCTGCTTACTTCCATACAACTGTTACGAGAAATTACTACAATTGGCCAACCTTAATTAAATGCCTGTTCTACTATAGACATCATGGTAGGCATTTAGGATACATTTAGGAGCTCTATAACCCAGCAGAGTGAAGGTGAAGTAGCAGTATGTCTGAAAGCATTTTGTAAATTGCAAAATACTGTATGGCTATAAGATGGCTTCTCCTAAACTGGACTCCTTTCTCCTGCGTACTGACCCACTAGGCACTCCTCCACCAAAGCCATTTGTTCAGGCTGTTCCCTGTGTTTGTCAAGATCCTATCCACCAGAGTTTTATCTCTTACTCCTTTCATGTTTAATGATAGTCAGATACTCTTTACCAATGGTTTCTTTGGCCTCAGTTTTTATAGGTAGGGCAGTTTTGTTTCTCTTCATATCTATATAATTATTTAGAAAGTATTCAGGCCACTAATGCTTTCATATCTCTCATCCTTCTAGATAGACTTGATTTCTCATCTTCTCTACTCCCATAGTTTGTAGATTTTTCCATAGCAAAAGCAGAAATTTGTTACATTTTAATTATATGTGGACACAGCTTAGTTGCCTGAGGTCAAAAATCTTTGTCTTTGAATCTACCACTTTATATAGCACAGTGCCTTGTGTCAATATGGGCACTCAATAATATGATTGTCTAATTCAGTGAAATATATGAACTGTGGATTTTTAGTAATGTCTTTTGTTGGGTTGTGATTTTTAGGTTAAAACTTCAACAACAAATTGTGAATATTGAAAATGCAGAGAAAGAAAAAAATGAAAATTCTGACCTGAAACAGGTATTATTTTAGCAAACATTTTGCTTTTATTTTTTTAAGTGCTTCTTTAAATCTGTGTTTTTGAATCCTTATTGGAATTTTATATATAAATATTCTGAAAATACCACTCCAGTTGATAATGAATTGATGAGGTTGATATGTAAAGATAAAGTGTTTAGACCTCTTTAAGCTCTTGTTTAGTAAGCTTCTTTTGTTTTTCTTAAGATATTTTTATGCTGTGGCTCATGATGAATTTTTTTTAAATTATAGTTTAAAGGGCAGTATTTTGAATTACTTGTGTGATTGACTTGTAACTTTGCATTTCTTATTCCATGAGCTATTTTTTATTATATCCCTATGAAATCTAAGAGTTGTATTTATGGAAGGAAATTCATATTTTAATTAAAGTTGTTTGGGTTCGGGAGGGATTTATATGGGCAAAACAAATTATGAGGAGTGAAAATTCCATTTTTAGGATTTATGCTTGCATGCTAGCTGGCATTGCTTTGCATGTATAGTTATGGTTTCTAAGTTCCAAGTAGGAGGGCATAATGTGTGATACTCTGAGAGAAGTTATCTAGTTTCATTGACATTGGGCTTTCTGTCATCCTGTAGATATGGAGAAGTATTAAGCTCTTTGAAAGTTGCTTGTTCAGCCAGCTGTAATACAAGTTTTATATTTACAGATCCAGTTAAAAATACTGAATAGTTCTTCATGGAGAAATTCATTCTAAAATAGAAATCTGAGACATACCTTTTTACTTTATTCTTCTGACAGTTGCTCTTTGGACCTATACAGTTCTGTATGTGGCTTTGCTACCATCAGGAAGTGATGGAATTATTTCCCATTTATTGCATAAAGAATCTGGTTTCTCTTGGCTCCTGAGTCTTGTAATGGATTCTTTTGATCTGAAGTCACTTGACTCTCTGCCTCCAAACTTCTCTCAAGAGAATGGCTTAGAGAGGTAGAAGAAAGTGAAAGAAAAATGAATACTTGTTTATTAATTGGTAAAATGGCTTTTGCAAGAATTAGGTGTAAATATATCCCAAATGAATTATTTGGATGAGACTTAAGAGCAATGTGAATCTCCTAGCCTGTTAATCTGTAACTAGATAATTAGCTACTTTTCATGAGAAAAAGTACTCCCAGATAAAGGTAAACTGGGATGAAGAAGCCTGACATTTCACAGTTTGATAAATGGTTCTAGAGGCCAAGGAATCCCTACCGTTCATTAGGTTTCTCAGAGCATCTTTCTTCTGCCCAGCACTCTATAAAATGCTTAAAAACTACTCAGAAACAATGTGAGAATGATCCTTCCTGCATTTATGATTCCTCACTATTCAGAGAGCAGAACCCTTGGAAGGGTTGCTAATCACAATGTTGTGGGAGTGGGAGAATGGATTTTCTTAGCAGCTTTACCAGCTTACCCTTTAAAATCTGTTCTTTCCTCAGAGGCTAGGAGACTCTTAATATTTGGATTCTCTTTGCTCACCTCCCTGCTCTCTTTCTAATGACACTTCTCCCCATTTCTAGTACCTCTTCTGGCCTGCTTATTTGGGGAAGAAGAGAGAGGACTCAGTGGCAGATTGAGGAATAGGGTTCTTGATGGTCTCTGGTTATAGTAAGATATGATCCTAATGCTGCTGCCTTCTTTTTTTTTTAACGTTTTTATTGGAGTATAATTGCTTTACAATGGTGTGTTAGTTTCTGCTTTATAACAAAATGAATCAGTTATACATATACATATGTCCCCATATCTCCTCCCTCTTGCATCTCCCTCCCACCCTCCCTATCCCACCCCTCTAGGTGGTAACAGAGCACCAAGCTGATCTCCCTGTGCTATGCGACTGCTCCCCACTAGCTATCTGTTTTACATTTGGTAGTGTATATATGTCCATGCCACTCTCTCACTTCGTCCCAGCTTACCCTTCCCCCTCCCCGTGTCCTCAAGTCCATTCTCTAGTAGGTCTGCGTCTTTATTCCCGTCTTGCCCCTAGGTTCTTCATGACCATTTTTTTTTTTTTTTTTTTTAGATTCCATATATATGTGTTAGCATACGGTATTTGTTTTTCTCTTTCTGACTTCACTCTGTATGACAGACTCTAGGTCCATCCACCTCACTACAAATAACTCAGTTTCCTTTCTTTTTATGTCTGAGTAATATTCCATTGTATATATGTGGCACATCTTTATCCATTCATCTGTCGATGGACACTTAGGTTGCTTCCATGTCCTGGATATTGTAAAGAGAGCTGCAGTGAACATTGTGGTACACGGCTCTTTTTGAAGTATGGTTTTCTCAGGGTATATGCCCAGTAGTGGAATTGCTGGGCCGTATGGTAGTTCTGTTTTTAAGGAACCTCCATACTGTTCTCCATAGTGGCTGTATCAATTTACATTCCCACCAGCAGTGTATGAGGGTTCCCTTTTCTCCACACCCTCTTCAGCATTTATTGTTTGTAGATTTTTTGATGATGGCCATTCTGACCGGTGTGAGATTATATCGCATTGTAGTTTTGATTTGCATTTCTCTAATGCTGGTGCTTTTTATAATTTCATTTCAGGGTGTCCTGAAGGGCACATCAGTTGGGTGTGGCATTTGTGAGGGAAGATGCTTAGTGTCCTCTGTGTCTCTCATATTCTATTGCATTTGTTAAGTGGCCTTATATTTCTCTTCTTTCTTCTCTTTTAAGCAAATCAGTAGTTTGCAGATCCAAGTGACCTCACTTGCGCAGTCAGAGAATGAGTTGCTGAATTCAAACCAAACACTGAAGGACATGGGGGAGAGGTTAAAACAGGAATGCCGAAATTTAAGAAGCCAAGCTGAAAAAGCACAACTAGAAGTTGAAAAGTAGAGTTTGCTCTTTTTTTTTAATGTACAAACTGTTTCTTCTTTCTGCTATATTATATATAGTTCTTTTAATGATGATTCCAGTGCTGACTGTATTTTGGGAACTAGTTACAAATACCTGATTGACAGTGTACAGTGGTCTTAGGTAATGTATTTTTTGTTTCTCGAGATGAGCTTTATGGACTCCTGGATTGCTTTAAAAAAAAGAAAAGAAAAGAAAATAGACATCTAGGGAAGAAAACCTTTTAAAATTCTGCCTGACCCCACAGTATTATGAAAACCTTCAAAGAAACACTTCTGTATTCATTGAGTAAATCAATACATTTCTTACTTCAAATATCTAAATTCTTCTGAATGCCAGAGAACAGAAACAAAATTTTTGATGTGTACAACTTACTTCTTAGAATTACAGTTATAATCTTTTGGATTTTCTCTTTGAAAAGCTCATTTACTTGTTTATATTTTTTGATTTTGAAATCTCTTAGTAGTAGACAGTCTAGTAAACTGGTAGGGAGATGATTTTGGTGACCAAGATCTTATATTCCCTGGAAAATGTTGTTTATGTATGGTAGAAAACCACTATTTTGTATTTGCTTTGTTATTATAACATGTCATTATTATAAGTTTTTGAATCTATGGAACATTATTCTTTTCACAGTTTTTTTCTGAAGGCTACCTTGCCACAAAACTTTTTCCTTATTTTTCTATTATTTAATATTCTAAGGCTTGTCCATGGACTCATATATGTGGTTGAATTTCAAGTAAAGGAAGTAAGCAAGATAACTGTCCATAATGGGTTGTGATGTTCCGCAGGGTCCAAATTATTTTGCTTATATTTTGCAAATAATAGGAATTTGTATCTTGGGATCCTCAAGTGATTTGAAATGTGCTTAAGAATTCCAATCATAATATAGCAAGCAAATGTAACTAACTTACTGGTTTCTGAATGTTATTCATAGGATTATATAGCAGAAAATAGCTGGACTTGGGGTCAGTAGAATGTGATTTTGATCCTAGCTAAGATACTTAAAATCTGTTTGACCTTAGTCATGCAATCTGACTCCTCAGGGTTTGTATATCTCATTTGTACTGCCTATAGTGATGATACTAAAAATCATAAAATATACAGAAGAGCTTTAAAGATGTAAGTTGTTATGATGTTACTATAAAATACCATTTATATGAATTTTACTCTAGCCAGGAAACACACCACATTAAGACTTGATACCAAGGTTGATTTTAAACCATCTTTATTAGGCCCAGTTTTTAATAGCTTGGTGGTATCATGGTTTAAAGCTGATTATCAGTTGTTTGTCCTGTCCCCCCGTTAACTAGGTATAAATCTTTAAGCAAGTTAGTTAACAGCTCTAAGCCTCAGTTTCCTCAGCTATAAAATGGAAATGATAGATGTACCTAACTCAGGGGTTACTGTGAAGAATAAATGATGTAGTACACGTACTATTCTAAGCCCAGTGGCTGGCTCATAGGAAATACTCAGTAATGGTGGTGATAGCAGATACGTGGCCATGCAGGAAT